TGTATATAGTACCTCCAAAGCATGGTAGGTATGCCTTCCCAAACACAGGCTAAGAGGCTCTACCACGTGTAGATCTGGAGCCAAGGTGAGGGCTGTATCTCAGAGAGGAGGATGAGGTGGTGTGGTAGAAGAGGAATTTTCCTGTGAGAGGGCAGACAGCAGTGCAGCTGGTTTGGGGCATGGCTGCATGGGACAAGTGTTCTGCAAAGCAGTGGAGGGACAGGAAGGGATGAAAGTTTAGGGGTGAACGAGAAGGGGAGATTACATACCTGCACTAAGGGTATTTTGGAGAGGAGTAGGCTAGAAGGAAAAAGATACTTTGAAGCTACAGCAAAAGGCATTTGTGGTGGCCTGAGCAGCAAATTGGTGCATGTTTTAGGAGTGACAGCAAGGAAGAAGATGGTGGAATTCAACAACATGAAATGAGAACATCTGAAGATGGGATGGACATGGTGGCAAATGGGAAATGCTAGTGATGATGATAGGAACTTGTTCTTCATGAAATAACTGTGATGCCAGTTGTGGTAACCATCCAGCATCAAAAGAAAGTGCAGCTTGATATTCCCTTATGAAACTCTGGTATCTTGGATTTCTCTCTAGTAGTATGGGTTTAACCCTCTTTATTGATCATATGGGGTTTTCCAAGTGAATCATTTAATTGTTTGGCTAGATAAAAGCTAGCTGACAGTTTGTCTTCCTACTGTGAAATCTTTGCTTAAATAACTAGTAATTTCTTCTTCTGAAAGGAGTGGGTTATGGCAAGCCTGTTTTTCATTATAGAATGAAGCTTGTATGGAGCTTTCCACTCCATCGTTCCCTCCTCTTGCTCTTTTCCTTCACCTGTTATAAGACAAGGAGTTCTGAAATTCTTCCTCATGCCTGTATATCATGCAGTGTGATCAGTTTAAGATGTTCCTCTGTCCCTGCTGACTCTAAATTTAAAAGGGAGAAGTATAAGCTGAGCTTGATTTTTTTTTTTTTTTTTCCTAGAGTAGGTTTATGAAATGAGAAATATTGCCACAAAATATCCCCTTTGTTACACAGAGTTAGTGCAAAGAAGACATGCAAGCTGATTGGCTGTGTAGTCCCTCAGTCTTAAGGGTCCAGAGAGTATAGAGGTGGTATGGGAGTTGTGGCCATAAACATCCATGTGGAAGAAATTCTACTATGCTCCTGTGCACCAGGCTAAACACCCACTGGGGCAGTCTGTGGAGTGTCTTCAGGGACTTAACCTGCTTTTATCTTCCTAAAATAGACATCCTTAGTATTACTCAACAAACAAAAAGGGCTATTCAAAGCAAAGATTTTAAAAAAGGGATGATAAACCAATACTAACATTAACAGTAGTAATTATTATTATTACTACTACTATGATGATGATGATGGTGATTATTGGTATAGTCATTCAAAACCCAAAGAGAATAAGAGAAAACATGTAGCAGTTGTAGTAACACTTCAGGCTCCTAAAAAGGGGTATGTTGCCAGTTTCTGTGAATGACAAGCATGTCTGCTTCTAATATTGGGCTCCTAACGTTGTTTGCATCTATCCTCACAGAAACAATCCTATCTAAATATTTTGTGCCTCAAACTAGCCTTTTCCCCTTCAGCTCTGGTTCAGTAGACCTGCCTGTATTTCAGAGGAAAACCAATGGAGGATTCACATTGTTTAAATTGACAAGAAAGATGTCCTTGGGGAAGACAGGTGAAGGTGTGATGTGGGGGCTGGCACATGTCTCACTGCAGTAAAATGTATGTTTGATATTTACTGAAGAGGGGAAGGAGCTGAATGCTTGTCAGGGCAGTCAGAGGCATAACTGCTGTTTTCAACCATGGAAATTTCTGTGTTACGATGTCATGCTATGGTGCAGGTTTTTACCAGATTGTTTGTGGAGCTGGTGGAGTCAGAGCTCTGGTGACTGTTTTGAATAGAGGCAGGGCAAGCATCTTTTGGAAGTGTGAATGGCTGAGATGTTCTGGTGTTTTCCAGAAAACACCACTTCTGCCTGTTGCTGGGGCAGTTCTGTCTTATTTAGAACAACTGTGGCAGCCAGGGATGGGCGTGGAGCACAATGTCCTCCTGTTCGAGGAAATGCAACTTCGTCTGAATTTCCTCACTCAGACATGTCAAATGTGTGTTATTGTTTGCTCTCCTCAGATCCTTTTCCTGTTCTTTTTTGAAGCTATTGTATGACAGATTTTTCTTGGCTGGTTGCTTTCTATTTACTATAAAGAAACTCTTGAGCAGGTATCTGGAAGCACTATGCGCTCTTCGTAACCAGAATAATCAGTTGTAGAATTGCATCAGTGCTTTTGTTTTCTAAACTGAGTCTAAGATAATTCCCAGCACTTTTGCATTTTTATTTTTTTTTAACACAAAGCCTGCTTTTGTAAATAACAAATGACTTAGGTTCCCTGGCTTGCTTATTCTGATACTTTTAAAATAAGTTAGTTATATTTGGTGTGGGTCAGGATGAAAGGAATTAGTTGAAAGACATTGTTTAAAAGGCAGTTTTTAAAATTACCTCTACTTGTGCAGGCATAAACCCAGTGTTACATTCCAAGAGGAAGCAGAAAACTGCAGATTGGTCATTGAATCACAGCATCTGTGTAATAGGGTTGAAAAGGTTTTAATAAACCTTTAATAAAGTATGTGTCAATGGGTTTGTTGGATGTGTGAAATTTACCCGATGTTTCTGAAAAACACTTTTGTCTTTCAGGGACAGGTGGCTATACATGCAAAATTTGACAAAGACATTTACCTCCCAGAGGATGCTGAGTTCTACTTTGTTTATGATGGGTCCCTGAACAGGCACATAATGTTTGCTGAGCGAGTTAGTGACAACACTCTTCGGTCCATTGTTCCAGGTGAGTGTTAACTGCTGTTTACATTTTTCATCTCTCTCATCTCTTTCCTGTACCCCACCCCCATCTCAAAGCTTGGCACAACTGGACAGTTTGGAGTAGCTCTATTTTATGGGTCTGTAATGGAGGAAATGCAGGAATTGAATGACAGCCTTTAGGATCCAGGCTGAGTTTAACTGACCATAAGTGATCCTGCCTTTCATAGCAATCCATACCACCACAATATCAGGCATAGACAGTGTTCCTGGGCTTGCACAGTTGAGTGTGCATTTACCTGCAGTCTTCGGGGATAAAATAATTTTTGACATTAAGTAATTCTGTGCCACAACTCTTCATCTACAGGCATCCTAACACCTGCAAAAGTAATGTTTTTGTCTGAGCCTTGCCTATGTGCAGCCATCAGCCTGGCTTGCAAGGCACTCATGATGGAAGTGCATGATTCTCAGAGCTGCTGGAGCTGTACACAGTGCAGAGGTGTCACTCAAACTGTTCTGGGGATATCTCACTGCAAAAAGGGCAGCTCTTTGCCTTGGTGCTGTCCCCGTCATGGATGTAACATAAACCCTGGTTGTCATCTTTATTGTGTGCTTTGTGACCTTTTAATTTGTGTGAGTGGGTGGCTACAGACATGATGTACCTGTGCAATAGCATCTGCTTGCTATTTGTTCTTTTTCCTAAAGGGGATTTAGATTCTGAAAATAACAACTGAGTAACTATCATCACAAGGGTACTCCTTTGATCCTGTAAGTTGTAAATTATTGTCATGGATTACAGTTGGAGAAAATGCAATGCAAGGACTTTTTCAGGGTGGCAGAGTTTTTTAAGAGGCCTGAAATGACACTGTTAAATGATTGTTTCTGGGCTAGGAATTAAAACAGGAGGCTACAGACGACACTTAATCCTCTGCCTGCTTCCAACAGAAGCCACAAACAGATGAAAATAAATTGTGAGGTTAAAATATAACCCTGCTGATGTTGGTGTTGTTTTGTAGTGGCCAAATTAAACATAAGGGAATGCAGAGCACTTTAAAAACAACTGCAGATGTGGTAAGTACATGCTTCCTTCTGCAGTTACTGGATTGCCTATGTACTTGTAGTTATTCAGGGATATTTTGAAAACTTTATGTATGTACCCACAGCTTGTCATGGCTAGCTTGCCAGTGAGAGGTACAGCTTGTAACTCTCTTAGATGTATGGAATCCATCCTTAATTAGGTGGCAAAGGAGGAGTGCCCAAGGTGCTTAAGAAGTTTGCAAGACAATCTCCCATGGACTTTCGGGGGGTTGCAGTTGTAAGTTAGAGTTCCTACCAACTTTAATCAAGTCTGCCAAAAGCATGAAGCCTGTGTTAAGAGCTTCTGGGTTTTGGCTTACATGGAGTCACTGAGTAGTTGCAAAATGGGTGTTAATAAAATGGATGTACTACTCAGAGTTTGTGTTCCAACACTATTTTCATGAATGCCTCACTTTTCTTAATTTTCATCCAATAAATTTCAGGCTTTTGATTTGTGAAATTTCATCCTGATGTGGCTACCTGTTCTTTCCATTGTGTTTAATGAACCCAAAAAAACTGGCTCTTGAATTAATTATGTCAGTATAATTGGGAGGACTGACAGTTCACAGTCGAGTTGAATTGAAGTTCATCACCAGAAGTGGTTGGTGGATGCACTATGATAGATGTAATTAGAGAGAAGAATAATTCTGAGTGAGTAGTCACAGCTTTTAGAGATGTGGGGGAATGAGGAAAAACTACTGTATTTTCTCAACATAGATAATGATATTGATTAATTTACATTATCATTACAGGCCATGGATGCCAAGAGGCAATTTCTGTCTCTGTGTTAATGTACACAAGGGGATACTCACCTGTGGTTCTTGGCAGCTGTCCCGTCACTTACAGAGAGAATCTGTCTTGCAAGTTGTCTCGCTTTCTGGTCAATCATGCAGAATGTGTCACTACTGCTGGTCACAAGATGTTACTGGACACATTTGGCCTGAGGATAAAAGATCTGCAATCCTTAGATAACAATTTGGTGATGGCTGTTGCTCATGAAGAATTGCCATCAACCTGGAACATCATTGGAGGTGGCTTAGAAGGTGGTAAGGTTTGATCTTAAGTTGGAAAGCTTTTAACAGTCCTTTGGTGCACAGTTCACAGCAGAGTATCCCACTGTTTCATCCCATGTTCTCAACCCTTGTGCTTGGTTTTGTGGTTAAGATGAAAAATTGTTCAAGTATAAGAGGGATAATCAGATATTTGGTTTGTGCCCAAAGGTTTAAAAACAGATAATAAAGGTTTTTGTGACTCTTTTCTCTCCAGAAGCTTTTTCTGCCTTGTCTCACTGTGAATTCAGTTCTTTATTTATAAATAGACTGCCTTCGCAAGATTAAAGAGTTATTAAAAAAACCAAAATTGTAGCAGTGTAGAAGTATTGTGGCCATGATTCCAACCAAGTGAGGTATTTTAATTACACAGACAAAAAGGAGATGGTCATAAAACTGAAGAATGGCATTCTGGTGTACATATAAATTACATAAGCATATTTTTAATCATGGTTCTGATAGTGCTTATGCTTTTGTTATGACCATGATCATTCTTTGGTGAGAATATAATTAAAGAAATCTTGTGCCTTTTTAAAAATTATTATTTTAGAGGAAATGGGACAAAAATATACATGAAACTTTACATTAGGGTATGCTATTGAAAACTTTGGTAACAAAATCAGGTGAAATTTTCCTGGTTTCAGGTTTCATTGCAAACATTAAACTCTAGTTAGGTTTTCCTGAAGAGTGTAATTTTTTTTGCAGACCCAGCTGATGTATAGCTGAGATTGAGAGCAGAGTCAAACTCAACAGCTTCACATGTTTTTAATTGAAAATTTGGTACTTTTGGCTGTTTTCCTTTTAGTACTTTAAATTGCTAAAAATTGGAGTTTCCGTATGAGCCAAACTGGAATAGAGACTGATGTGACCTTTTTGAGAAGTAAGAACACAGCACTTAGCCCAGTTCTTTGGGTGAGGACTTTTTTCCAATCTTAAATCTTTGTAATTCTTAATGACAGCTTGAAATCTGCTACTGCCTTCCTCAGAAGGATGGTTTTTGTCTGTTGTAAACAGCTCTTTCAAGACATGTAAAAACAAATACCAAGTCTCATTCAAACATTGGCTAGTCAGGAAAGAAAAAGCCTCACAAAACAACAGTTACTTGTTTAATTTTGGTGTGTAGTAAATATTTGTTCACATTACTCAACTTCTGGAATGGCTGTTGGATCTTAGCAATTGAAGATCTTGATTCAAAGCCTGAAGAAATCAGCTGCAATTTTGCTCACAGATTTGGCTAAGATTTTCATCAAAACCGTTTGAAGACTAACCCAGAAGCACCAGCAGTGTACCAGTGGTGCTGAGAGATGCTTGAGCAAAGCCAGCTGGGTACCTGCTTGTTTGAAACGTGGGAGAATTTATGCTGGGTGTTTTGTGGGTCAGGAGAGTTGGAGATCAGCTCAGCTGGTACCAGACTAAGGCAGGGCAGCTGATATCTAAATAGCAAAATTATTTAAGGTTTAGTTATGGTAGTTGTTAATTTTCAGCTTACTGCAACATTTATGTGGAAAAGAGTGTGTTGCCCTCATGAGACTTTTATAGGACTTGTACTTTTTTTTTCTGTGTCTTTTTCTTACTTTTTTCAGTGTTCAGATTTAGCTAGTAAACATAAACAAAATTTGAATACAGCAGAAAAGAAGTGTGTGCTCCAGTCACTATGCATTCTCTGAACTTCTGCCATGTTAGATGAGCATGTGTTGAGCATGCTGCTTTAGGGGTTGCCTCATGGGCACTGTTGCACTGAAGAGGTGACATTTCCCTTTATAGCTCAGTCATTGCTCTTAAATGAAGCTGGGGTCTTTCCTCTTGTTTCTAAATTAAAAAAAAACCAAAACAACAGACCTGGTTGAAATCCCTGGGGCCTGGTATGCACAGCAAGGAATTCTCAGTACAGTCCTGCCTGGGCAGTGCTTACCAGCCACCCTTCTTGAGTGGAGGGTTCCCGAAAGCTTTCTGTGACTGCTTCTCCTTCAGCCCAAGCAAGGTCAGTCACTCCCTTCTTCTCTTAGATGTCCATGCTGGGGCTGGGCCTCACATAATTTTTGGTATCCTCTAAGCAGTTTGTATAATTTTTCTTAGGCTCCAGTATCCTTTCTTTCTCCTTTCTGAGAGTATAGTTTTGATTGTTCTTACATCCATACTGTCCTTTCACCTGACTCTGAGAAGCACTGACTCATACTGCTTCCCTGTGCCTTCCCAATCACTGTTTTTTTGTCCCCAAAGCCAAGAGGACAAGCACAGACAAGGGTTTCATGTGCTGTGTGTGCAGGGAAGGGGGAGAGAGGGAGGGGGGAAAAGAGGGATGAAGGGAGAAGGGGATGGACTGGAGTAGGAGGACTTCAGATCTCAGCACAGGTGAGAAGTTGAAGAGATGGTTCTTAATCTTCCACCATGAGGATGAGCTGGTGGTTCCAGCATTCTGTTTTCTTCCCCATGCACCAAAAGATCAAAATGGATGAGAAACAGAATATATGAAGATTTAGAAAGAGGATGGGACCTTTGCCTACCTGCAGTCTGTGCAACTCCTTGCCCCAAAGTTGTGACGGTATCCAGACACTTAACAGTGTCAGAATGTTCTTTTTGGTATTGGTGTTGTGAAGGATGTGGGTGCTATCCATCCATCACTAGTTGGGACCTCATACTTCTGAGACTCTGTCAGTTTTCAGAGCTGCTGAGCTGGTTTTATTGGGCAAAAAAATACTTTTGAGTGACACATCATTGGAGAAAATTATCGCACCATCTGGTGGTTTTGGACCTCATTAATTTTGTGAGGATTTAAAAATGTGGGTTGATGGGAAGACAGAAGGATAATTTATTCATAGGAGTTTTGGTATTCAGAAGTGTTTGTATTCCCTTTATAAGGTATTAAAAGAATTCAATAAAGAGAGAGCCTGGATTGTCTAGGGAGCATTGCATATAATTCAGGAATTTAATACAAGTTGCACAGGTCAGAACTTGCTAGCCACATTATTTAGAGTTCAAAAAAAGAAACAAGACAGCACAAACCTTTTAGTAATCTTAACTTCTAGTCAGTGTCTGTGTAACAACTATGTCAGGAGCTGCTCACAAACTGGTCAGATATTGGAATTTCCTGGCCCACAAGCACTTTACTGCTGGAGGAAACTAGGAATCCAACAGAGTTGCTATGCTTAGATGTTTATTTGTTGGTGGGTTTGAAGAAAGAGGATAAAGAGGTAGAGAGGAGAGCAAGAGACAAGCTTATTTTCTTGTTGATTGCACCCTCATAAAATATATTTTCCTACAGAAAACTGTATTATTCAATTTATGTAGGTAATAGGTATTAAGTACTAAGATGGGACACTTTTTTTAAATTATTAAAAAAAACCCCACAACAATCTTCCCACAGTTTTTCAGTTTATTAAAAGAAAAGAAGGCAGAAGGATGGAGTGGTTTAATCTGGATGAGAAAAATGCTTCTAAGTAGCCTTTTCCCTCCTGGTACCATCAGGTTAGGGCAATCTTTTAGGACTGCCAGCCTGCAAGAAATACCAGGTTTGGTCCATTCAGCATCTTCACTGCAACTTTTTTGCCCTTGATACACTCAGGCTTTTATGTCCTCTGGCTGTTGGAGAGCTAGCAGGAGCACAAGAGTGTGGACCTTGCAAGGAGTTAACCTTGCATACAGGAGGCTGAGGGTGTCTCAGTTTCTGGTGGTTTTAAGGGCATTGCTGGGAGGCTGAGTTCAGGTTGTCTGGGTGACTTAACTGTGCTGGTAATCAAACAAGAACAGTTGCTACTGGCTTTGCCTCTACAGTAATCCTCAGAACTAATTTTCAAGAGGAAGAATGAGCTTTTAAGGCTGTAAGTAGAAGCAACAAAATTACAGACTGAATTATGAAAATTAATTGTGGATGATAGGGAAGGAAACAGTGTTTATCCTTATTTAATTCCCTCTCATGAAGAAGGAGGATTTTGTATTTCATAAATGCTTCTGAATTGTTTTCTAGAAGTAGGTCTTGTGGAGTGAGCTGAAGTACCCAACCTCACTGCTTTATAGTCTGCCTTTGGGGAATGCTCTTCCATTTTCTGTGGCATTATTTACTTTATTGCCCTCCTTGTGCCCTTTTCTTTCTAAATTGTGTTATTATTTTCACATGGGGTTAAATACATTCCTAAGCTGCACCAGTTCAAACCTGGCTGGTGCATGTTGTGTTTTTGATCTTAGTTAAAGACAATTCTGTCTGTGCCTTCAGTTTGTATATATATATATATAT